TTTTTTTTTCGCAAATGGCTTATTTCGATAGCTTATTTTCTAATATTGCCAACGTTATATGATTTGTAACTACAAGTTTTTCATCATAGAACCCACTCGAGTCCGCCTTGCATTTTTGTCGAAAATAACACAAGTTTAAGGAAATTAAAAAATTTTCCTACCTGCGACATTTTTGTATGCAATCTCGCTCACATATATATTCAAGGCCGTATTTCTATTTAAATTGCTTAACTTCGACAATTTTCATGTCATTGCATTACGCTTGGCATTAGTTTATTCGAAAATAAATGTGATTTTAGGTAAATATTACATGTTTGACAACTTTCATAGAAATTTTTGAAATCAGAGATGGTCAAAGTTGGAAAAAAAATTATAAAAGTAGGGAGTTTTAAAATTTTACCCGGTGAAAACTCCAAACAAACTAATCTATCTAATGAAATTTAGTCAAGCTGTAAACAGATAAGTGCATCAAGGATGAAAATATCGGTTTTTTAATGAAAAAAAATGGAGGGTTCAAGAACTAAAAGAAAACTATTTTTTTAGTACCGTGTAATAGATTGGCGCTTGCACGTATGTTAGTGATTGGTTGAGGGTCTCCTCCGATTTGTGGCGTGCGCCTTGATGTTGTCACACAATAAGGAGAGACCTTCAGTTTTACACCGGCTCCGAATGGCGATTGTATTTTTATGAGAAGCTGTTTTTCATGGCAGATGTTTGACATTGCCTGCCGAGGGGCGACTGCTATTAGAAAAAATCTTTTTTATTTTTTTTATTTTTTGATTTGGGTTGAAAAGGGTTTGAACCTATTTCATTTTATATTTATTTTTTTGATCAGAGATAAAAATTATTATTGAGTTTTAATTTTCTAATCAAAAATAATGCTTATTTTAAAACCAAAAAGGTCATACATATACAACCAACGGAAACTTTGACCTGCAAATTTTCTTTTATTATGATGTAAAGTAAAGCTTTTAAGTTTTTTGGATAATCAATACAATTAAGTTTTTTAAATAAAATTAAAATAAATTAGTAGTAAAATAGAATACTTTTAAAGCAAGCTTTCTAAATACGAACCAATTCAGATCATAAATACTCGTTTACTAAATATATCGAATCCTGCGTCACCTAACGGATTTATTCCTTTTCATGTAATTAATGTGCGTTATAAATATGTACCAAACCGGACTATAAATAGGCGTTTTTTTTTTAATATCCCAACTCCTGTGCCAGCTATCGAATTAATTCATCTTTCGTATTGCATCTTCATCGGGTTCTGAGTCATAGTTCACAGTTGATAAAATTGCTGAGTAATACTACCGAGATGGATATGAAGACTTCCCGATTACGGGAACTTTTACGAAAATTATGTAATCCACTCTAATAGAATCTAATGCACCCTTTTCTCAGTCTGAGAGTGAATAACAAATAAATTGCTAATTAATATTTATCCTTACAAACTTATGTCGAGTTTTTTTCATTGTCGTTTAACTTAAATAAATATGTACATTGAACAATAACTTCTGAATATTATCTACTTCATATGAGAGTCGGTTCCTTTATGTAACCATTTTAAATTGATTATTACTTTGTATGCAAAAGTAATCCTGCCTAAGACAATTGTGAATTTTATTCTGTTACCTAATTGAAGCTTAAAGAAGACACACAATGCAACATAAATTTGTATATACAAATACATATCTGTTTGTGAGTTGAAATTGATATCAAAGCTGTAACGGGTTTACTACTTGCATAACGTATTTTAAACCAAAATTAATCCATTTCTAAAAGCATGGTGAGAAGCCTTGTAAGTGAAAAAATAATCTGTTATGCACATACATACTACATACACCCATAAATGTGTAAGTATGTTCTCTACCAGAACGGTTTACCTTACACTACTTGATGGAAACTTTAGCCAATACACCAGGTAAAGCTACCTATAAAATACTGGAAGGTACTCAAATATTTATCCAGTATGCTCCGGTAGGGTTTGTATAACTTCAGAGCACAATAAAAGCGTGCATACATAAGCTTTATTGCTGCAATTGAATATGTAAAATGAAATGTGCTAAATAAGAAGTGTACAACAACAAAGGCAATTGAGTAGTATGTAATACGAATACTTGCAAGGGAACCCGATTAACGTTTAATTAGTTAGTTGTATGTCCATGTAGACTAAAAAAAAAAACATGGGAGAATAATGATTGGTTTAAAAACTGAATTAAGTGCACATTTTAAATATATGTACAATAGGGTGGTCCAAAAAAAGTAAAGTCGGAATTTTAATGCTCTCACCCCCTAGCATTATTCTATACCGAAAAATTATACCCCTGAATTTTGTTTTTTTGAAATAAAAAAAATATTGAGAGATGGCTCAAAGCGCTCAAAGTTTTCTATGTATTTTATATGGAGAAAAAACAAGTTTTCGTAGATATGATAAGGAGTTCTTGAAAGTCAATATTTTTCGATCGGAAAACTTTTTTCTCTTCAGGAAACTTTCACTAATAATACCCAATCGTTTCTTTAAGCATATTACCTCGATTGAAAAATATTTTTTATTTTCAAGAATTCTATACCATTTTCACAGGAATTTTTTTTGCCAAGATATTTTTTTTATTAAAAAAAAAACGGGCAAAGTTTTCGACCACTCTCACGTACAATCATACGAACATATATAAATACATAAATACGTCTGTATGTGCATATTATCTCATTGCACAACATGCCAACCCGAGCACTGATAGTGTGGTATGTTAAGCTCTGCCTCACATTTACCGAGATGGGGGTAACCACCACATTTGGTCTGACCACCCGACCTGTCGCGTCGGTTAGCCAGCCATTGAAATTGCTGCATTAATGTCACAAATTCAAATGTTGTACTTAACCAATTGCGGCCTTTGCTATTTGCATAAACACCGATGAACATTAGCATGTACTACATATATTTGTCAGTCTGCTAGTGTTTGCTTAAATTCGAGCATAAACTGTGTTTGTTTGATCGTGTGAATGTCAAATGGCCGGCTTGCAAGCCTAATGAAAATGGCAATTTTCGGTTTGTAAAATATGGAAATACCAGCAAACATGGCCGCAACGTTGACAATATAATGCAATTATAGTCTGTAGACAAAATGGGACAGTTACATCCATATATGTATGTATGTTTTTATGTATGCGCACGCATGTACATACATATGTGTAATAAAGTTACATACTTTTACATTTGATTAATTGAATCCTTTATTTTAAAGTCTTGGTCATTTTGGATAGCAGTTTGAGTGAAGGTAGGATATGTTTTGTTATTAATTTTATTTTATTTTTATATATTTTTTTTCATAATATTTATTTATTAGTTTACTAAATCTATGTATAATTAGTTTATTAAAATATTAGTTAAAATTATCTTCTACACTTTAACCACTTCATCTTTGGCAGACGCCTTAGTTTTATCAAAACCACTGATAAGCATTCCAAGCACTCCAACAAGTATCAGAATATCCAAAGCCAATAATATCTTCATGAAGGTAAGTACACCATTAATGATACGATTCTCGAATTCAACTGCAGTTGAAAAAAGTTATTAGTATTAAGTTTTTTAATAAAACAATGACTTTATAATTTACCTTCTGCGGCAATATTCATTAATCTTATTCGCTCCGTAATAATGGGAGACATATCCTCTCCACTCGGCATATTTGTTATGCCAAAACTTTTTGACAATGCCGACGAATGCATTTCCGAAGTAACACGTACCACAAATTTCCGCCACATGATATGTAATCCAGTATGGTTTGTAGCCACCTCTACAGGGCTACGAAATATTTGGTTTGCCTGTTCTGGCGCCAATTTTTCAATGAAAATACTGGGTTTAAATTTTTCAACATGCTCTAAACTTTCAACCTGAAATGATATCAAGTACTTAGTATAATGGAAACGTAATTAGAAAGTTTAGCTACCTCGAAAGAGTGCGTTGCTGCTACAAGTGTGGAAAGTATTAAAAGAAACCGCAAAATTATTTGTTGTTGTTTTAGCTGACGAACCATTTTGCTGAATATTTTCAAGGTGACAGAAAGTGAAATCGAGAATTAATTGTTATTTTTTGTTATTTTTTTATTATTTTCTTGTATGCTTTTATTTATTTAGTCTTATTATTAGATATTGTTTAAAGAATTGATTGAAATCTCGAGGCTAATGGACAATTTTTGTGCAAGGAAGTAAACAACATCTCTATGACACAATTTTAAATTGGTAATGAACATACATATACGGTACATACTAAAACTATGAGATTAAACTCACTGTATTTCATACCCATGGCCCAGCGTTAGCTAGGGGGAAAAAATAGTTAAAGAAATATTTAAAGCTTTCAGAGCATTTGGTCCATAAAACGGCTCACTGAAAGTGACATTTAAATAAAAGAAAAACTATGAAATAATTGTTTATGTCTTGCGTCTTTTATGTTGAGTCCATTAAACGTTTGCCATGGTCATTATATTCATTTCGATTAGTGATGACTTTTTCTATATACTTGGCATTATTTTAATTTTATGATCAGACATTTTTCACTACAGAAAAATTTGTCGAAATTACGGAGGCAATATGGTGAATTCCAATAACTTGGCTAAAGCACTTTGATACAACAACTCCCTAAACTTGAAGAGACTGGAGATTTCAGTAACAACTGACCTATAACCTCTCCAATTACGGTCTGGCATGAGTTCGCATGAGAGATTTTTATCTCACACTGTCTTTTTTACGCTAGTCACTTTAAAAGCTTTCTACAGATTGTATGTATATGAAAGCGTACAGAGTGAAAGCTATCTTTTAACGTCACTTTCTAGTGCAAATGTGTTTATTATGAGTAAATATGTACGCATTAAATCAAAAGGCCTCTAATACCATTGAAATGTTTTTCTAACCGATATTTTTAATATTTATTTTATTTTAAAATTTAAAAAAATTACGTAAGCCATTTTTTCCTTACATTAGATTATTTATATTTGTATATATTTATTTTAAATAATACGTTTTATTTTTTAGTTTTGCTTTTTAATTTAATAAGATAAGCGCGCACTTAAAATAACAATGTTCTTTTCACAATCTACGGTATACGTATAACTGTTGCACTGACATTCGTCCAACCGAAGCAGTGTGTAATTTTGAAAATCGCCGACGAACCACGAAAGATAAGAAATCTTTTAACAAAAGTATAAACGTGAGAGCCATAATCACGAACAACTAGGTAAATACTAGGGTGTTCCATTAAAGAATTTTCCCAAATCAATTTTTACTTAACCCGTCGTTTAACCTAATATTTTTCATTATTTCAGCTCAAGATACTAAAATTATATTAGTATATAACAAATCTTATGAACACATTTTGTACCTCATCCATTTTTATATTTTTTTTATCTTTATATAGTATTTCATCCGCATCTTTTCGAAAGTTTGATTGTTAGTGGAACCTTAAAAAATTAATTCCAGGTTAAGACTGACGTCGAGCTTTTTTACCACTACGAATGGTAACTTTTAAGATATAGAGAAAAATCTGTGTGTGTGAAGAGCCAGGTGTGGATTAGTTAAAAAGTGCGATCAAAGTTATTTGGGCCAAAACCTCTCAAAAGCTTGGTAATTAAAGAGAAATTGTTGAGATTACTCCACCTCATCGTCTTTTAAGCAGTTGAGACTGTGAGAATTGGGTGTGAAGATTTCTTCACTGGTGTCTCCGGTCGACCATTAACCGAGCGTTTGTTGCGCTATATATTCTTCTTCCATGTAGCTTTAACCCAACCGTTGAGAAGTTCATTATAGCCTCAGTTCAACTTCTGCCTGCTGCCCATTCACCTCTAGGGGCGAGTGAATGAAGGCAGGGCTCTCACTATGCAGTGATGCATGTTATTCACGTGTAAAGTCGAAGACTCTAAGAATATTAGAGCATCCAAATCTTGAGTCAGCTCGCAGTGCCCCTGCACTCGTTGCTGCCGTATTCTTACCCAAGATGTTGACGAACGCTATGTTAAACATGCCGTTGAGAGTCAGAGTGGGAATGGTCTAACTGCGCCACTGATTGCAATGATGATCTTCCGTAGTGCATTTTGTTTGAAGAGAACTCCATAAAAGGTTTTGTGGGCTTTACTGTGGTTTCACAGATCCGAAAATAACTTTAGGAAAGAGGCGCAGGAATGCAAACGATGCATCGATATTTTTGAAAATTCGCTGAATTGACGATAACAGTTTCAACGATAGTTTACACATCGACTTAAGTGTGACTCAGACTTACTTTGGATGGGTATTTCAGACTTATCATAAGTTTCATTTTCATCCGAAATCGTTCAGTTCTCTCTTTTCGCTATGTGAATTAATTACGGTGGGATGAAAAAATTTCGGTTGAATTTTTTTTCGGGCGAAACTCAGGATATGGCTGATTGTGCTACTAAACTTATTTGATTGGTCATGAATTTCATTACTCATTATTTGGGGGAACATTCAGAAAATCCGAGTTTATTCGCAGTTTTCAGTGTTAAGAATGATAACCGAATCATTAGATAGGGTCCGGGCTCCCCTTAGAATTTCAACAAAATTAGGTCTTGGAACTTTAGGCGAACTTATGATGTGTGAATTTTTATTCTATTTGTAGGATAGATAAAGGAATGCTAATTAAATACAGGGAAACACATCCGTAAGTATGTATTTCTCTAGTTGAATTACAGAGACTGCATTGGGTGGAATTGAAAAGTATTAAATTTTCCTTTGAATGTGACTGGAACTTAACAATTCATAAAATATCGGAAACCATCGATATACTGATGTTACTGCCTAAAACTGGAATCCCCACCGATTGCACGCCTGCGATATTTAAGATCCACTGATGCTTTCTTCATATTCTTCTTAATTTCACGCTTCTGCACTAGTATCCTCGTTAGAATCAAGCCCAATTACTTAACCCTATCAGAATGCGTAGAAGGGATGCCTTTATTAAGAGAATAGTCACATGGGGTATCATATAATTATATATTCCCAAGTACACAGGAGACTCACTCTGTTAGAAGACCACTAAGCTATCATAATCAGGTACTCTTGTAGTTATCATATCAAAGTGGGTATATAGAAATTAACTTTGCCTAACACTGCTGTGACAGTTCTGTCACATTCTTGCCAAAGAATCTGACTATAGTCCCGTGAGGACCTAACTAAAAGTCGCTTTATAATATTTCTAACTAATTTCTATTTATATATGCAAAACAAAATAAATACGCGCACACATTTATAACTGCCTTGTTATCATATAACTTGCTTATACATACTAAAAAAAATTGAACACCACAACTGCAACAAAACTTCAGCTTCGTCAATACTCGAAAAAATTCACGTGAATTTATTTTTTAAAGTGAA